TTAGATTTCACTAAAAATATTGTTGATTTTCACACTTATTATTGTTGTTTTTTTCAACAAGTATATTTTTTCATTATAACGACATTTTACCTTGAATAAAACATTAAAACATAAATAATATTAGTTATATTATACAAKTTATATCATAATTCATACAGCACTTTTATCTACCGTAAATTAGAATTGCATTTATAAGTTCATGTTTTTTCATTTTATATAATATTATGAGATTAATATTTTTAATAGGTAGGTGCAAATATCCATTCTTATTAGCAAAATCTAAAAGTAAAAATATCAATATAACTTGTATATGCAATATGCATAGTGTGTAGTATAAGATAGAACGACGACCTATATATAAAACTTAATAATGCATGCATGCATATTTTTGTAGTCCAAAAAAAAAATTCAWTGTTTTTCAAATAATATATTTGTTACTATGCATAATTTCAAACGGAAAAAAGAAAGGAATTACTTATTTTTTAACTAAATCGAAAAATATATATATTTTTTTAGTGAAGATTTATAATGATATTAATATTATTCGGTTCCTTTATTTTACTTACTCATCTGTTCACTACGTTCTTCAAAATGCAATGACSTAAAAATATAACTATACAATGTACATAGTGGATGAAACTGTAGTAAATGTAGTTCATTCGGGACTTATGAATGTCATACTGCTGTAAACTTGTATCTACTCGTTTTGTAATTTAATCGATTCATTTGAACATTATACAATAATAGAATTATACTATTTAAGTTTTTTAACGACACTGAGATTATTCAATGTATTTAGACACATATTATATAGCAGTTTTAACATATTATACTCGTAAATGCTGAAAATACTAAAACTAAAATATTAAATAAAAATCTAATAAATGTATATGATGCATAATATATTAATATATTAATATTAAAACTATTCACTAGGTTAWGTAAACATATAATATGTAATGTGTAACAATGTTTAGTGTTAAGTCTTAGTCAGTAAGTTATAGCAGATGTAGAAAAATAGAAACTAGGTTAAGCGATAATATGTGAATGATAGGACTAGATTAAATATGCGAGTTCTTCAGTGGTGATCGCTTGATACGTTCAATGGGTAATATAGGATGTTAGTTCATATTGCTTTATATTCATTTTTAACTGCCAAAAAACAAAAAAATAGTGAATAATATGTCATTTATTTCTTAACAGTTTTAAATTTAGTTAATCAGTTCAATGTTCAAGAGGAGTACGTACTTGTCGATGTTTAACAAAAACATTGTTATATGAGCATTTACATAAATAAAAATTGATCAATAAATAATGTTTTCAAATGTATAGTGGTTGAATAAATATTTATATACCTATATCATTGTTATTTTCACTTGTAAAAATATTATTTGCATCCTTTTTTATACCATCAAGAATTGATAACAATCAATCACGTGTCAATTACACGTAACAATTCGATCATATTAGGAATAAGCAAAATAACAATCTATATAACATTTAAAATTACTTAATAAGCTTTTTTAAGCCATTTGAATATGTATTCTAATGTAACACTCATATCAAATAATGATTGATACAACTATACTATAGAATATTATGCGTAAGTATATTTCTACCTACGATAATTTATTTATCAGGCTATCGTATTAATATCTGTAACTTGTTGGAAAAAATTATGAAATCATAAGGTATCCTATGTTTCGCAAACACGGTAATGCCTATTTCGTAATCATAAAATATTTGTTTTTTTATATTTATGTGTCTCAAAATCCATGTAGTTAAGTACTCGCGATACATGAGACATACAAAGTACTCAAATCTACACCGGAGACATCTAGCAATCAAGTGCATTTCACCAAAAAAAKTGAATTCCGTCAATTAATTTAAAATACTACTAAAATGGTAAATTAAACCAATGTATACATTTAAATATGACAGAATATGTTAATAGATAAGTGTAAATAATGATGGCTAATAACTACATAGTCAATGCCTTGAATAATTGTTCATGTTGTATGGTTCATTATCAACCAATAAAAACAACTTTACAAATATTTCTTCAATTAAAAACGTTTGAAGTAAATCATGTTTTWAATTATAGCCTATAGATCAGAAAATCTATATTTACAACACTAATTAAATTTAAGTTTCGTCAAACTAAGTGATACTTTGCATAATAAAATGTGCAAAACATCGCTTAAGAAAAGTCCATACGAGTCCATAGGAAAAGTGGTCAGTGGTTAATAGAAGTTTTGGTCATATATATTATCTCTTTAAAACAGTACACTGTACAGTGAAACTTCTATTAATAGACACCTCTTAATAGTGGGCCTTTCTCAGTGGTGGAAGCTTTTAAATTCCTCTTCAAAAATGTATGCACATAATAGGAATTATATCCTCCTAATAGAGGACTTGGACTTGATACAATACATGTACACATCGAACATTTTATTATATGATTTCATTTATAATTATTCATTTTCACAATAACCCAACGTTTAAAGAAGTTTGGAAAACAATAAATAATTTAAAAATAAAGAAGTTGAGATCGCATTATCAATGATGGCTAATTTGA